TATTTTCATCATCACTCTCATCATTGTATTCAGGTGTAATAATTTCTCTTTCTCTAGACCTAGCAATTTGCTCATCAAGAAATTCACCAAGGGGCACAGTAGTATCAAGCATAGAAGTGGTTTCATCACAAGTATCATGCATAGCAGAAGTGGCATCAATAACATGCAGCATATCAGAATTCATAGCAGTAGCAGGTTTAGGTGTCGCAAGCTTACTTATAATAGAAGAAGAATCTAGTGCAGAGCTAGATGGCAGTTCCTTACCTCCCCTCGTAGTTGAGCGTAAAATCTTGGTCTTAGCGTCTTTCAAGTTCTTCATAGTGTCCAGCAGATATAAATCCCAAGTGACTCAAAGAATAGAGCTATGCTCCCCGGCAACAGCGGCAGAAAAAGGTCTTGATAAGCCACAAGTATAGGAGATCACAACAGTTTTCGAGGGTAGAGTATTCAACCCAAATTTGTTGATTCGACACAAGGGGAGCCAAAGAATATTCTCAAGTATTAGCAGCTGAGTTGTCAATTCAACCACACCTGGAAACTTAGTATCTGCAGCAAGGTGTTTAGTAGCAAAGTAATATGATAGTGGTGGTAATGGTAACAAAAGTAAAGACAGCAAAAGTAATGTTTTTGGTATTTTGTAGTGATTGTAACAGTAACAACGGAAAAGTAAATGAGCGAGAACCAGTATATGGAAAACTCGTAGGCACTGGATCAATGATGGATAATTATGCCGAATGTGGTTCATCATGTAACAGTCATAACATAGGGTGACACAGAACTAGCTCCAGTTCATCAATGTAATGTAGGCATGTATTCCGTATATAGTCATGCGTGCTTATGGAAAAGAACTTGCATGACATCTTTTGTCCTACCCTCCCGTGGCAGCGGGGTCCTATTGGAAACTAAGGGATATTAAGGCCTCCTTTTAATAGAGAACCGGAACAAAGCATTAGCACATAGTGAATACATGAACTCCTCAAACTATGGTCATCACCGGGAGTGGTTCCGATTATTGTCACTTCGGGGTTGCCGGATCATAACACATAGTAGGTGACTATAGACTTGCAAGATAGGATCAAGAACTCACATATATTCATGAAAACATAATAGGTTCAGATCTAAAATCATGGCACTCGGGCCCTAGTGACAAGCATTAAGCATAGCAAAGTCATAGCAACATCAATCTCAGAACATAGTGGATACTAGGGATCAAACCCTAACAAAACTAACTCGATTACATGATAAATCTCATCCAACTCATCACCGTCCAGCAAGCCTACAATGAAATTACTCACGCACGGCGGTGAGCATCATGAAATTGGAGATGGAGGATGGTTGATGATGACGACGGCGACGAATCCCCCTCTCCGGAGCCCCGAACGACTCCAGATCAGCCCTCCCAAGAGAGATTAGGGCTTGGCGGCGGCTCCGTATCGTAAAACGCGATGATTTCTTCTCTCTGATTTTTTTCTCCCTGAAAGCCAATATATGGAGTTGGAGTTGGCATCGGAGGGCCACCAGGAGGCCCACGAGGTAGGGGGGCACGCCCAGGAGGGGCGCCCCCCACCCTCATGGACAGGGTGTGGGCCCCCTGGTCTTCATCTTTTGCGAGGATTTTTTATTAATTATCCTAAGACATTCCGTGGAGTTTCAGGTCATTCCGAGAACTTTTATTTTCTGCACAAAAACAACACCATGGCAATTCTGCTGAAAACAGCGTCAGTCCGGGTTAGTTCCATTCAAATCATACAAGTTAGAGTCCAAAACAAGGGCAAAAGTGTTTGGAAAAGTAGATATAACGGAGACGTATCAATCATGTACTCCTATATATATGCCCACGAGGCTCAAGCAATACAACGAACAATTCCACAAATTCCTCTCTAATCCCTTCTAACATCGAACCCATAGGGTCCGCACGCTTAACGTTCGATGACGATATGTATTATGAGTTATGTGTTTTGATGACCGAAGTTTGTTCGGAGTCCCAGATGAGATCGCGGACATGACAAGGAGTCTCGAAATGGTCAAGACATAAAGATCGATATATTGGAAGGCTATATTCGGACATCGGAAAGGTTCCGAGTGATTCTGGTATTTTTCGGAGTACCGGGGATTTACGAGAATTCACCGGGAGAAGTAATGGGCCTTATTGGGCTTTAGTGGAGAGAGGGGAGAAGGGCCAAGAGGTGGCGCGCGCCTCCCCCCTGCCCAAACTGAATTGGACAAGGGGTGGGGGCGCAGCCCCCTTTCCTTCTCCCTCTCTCTCTCTTTCCTTCTCTCCTACTCCGAATAGGAAAGGGAATCCTACTAGGACTTGGGAATCCTAGTAGGACTCCCTATGCTTGGCGCGCCCCCTAGGCCGCCCGCCTCCTCCCTCCCTCCTTTATATATGGGGGAGGGAAGCATCCCAAGGATACACAAGTTGATCAAGTTCATCTTTTAGCCGTGTGCGGTACCCCCCTCCACAGATTTCCACCTCGGTCATATCGTCGTAGTGCTTAGGCGAAACCCTGGCACCGGTAACTTCATCATCACCGTCACCACGCCGTCGTATTGACAGAACTCTCCCTCGGCCTCAGCTGGATCTAGAGTTCGAGGGACGTCACCGAGCTGAATGTGTGCAGATCGCGGAGGTGCCGTGCGTTTGGTACTTGATCGGTTGGATCGCGAAGATGTTCGACTACATCAACCGTGTTACATAATGCTTCCGCTTTTGGTCTACGAGGATACGTGGACACACTTTCCCCCGTTACTATGCATCACCTAGATAGATCTTGCATGATCATAGATTTTTTTTTTGAAATTACTGTGTTCCCCAACATATGGCATCCCAATTGATTTGCTAAATGGACCCTGCCCAAAGTTACTATCAGAGGACAACTTTGTGCAATAAATTGGGCCCTGTCATTTTTTTATGCAAGCATGTTGATCCTATTCCGGACTACACGTCAAAAGCTCTGTCGACATTCATAAAACAAAACCCCTTTATCCTCTTGCACCATGTATTCTTCATGGGCTACATTTTTTATTCAGGGCACCACACACCACATCATTGAACTGAAGAACTACACCAGGGTAATGAAATGTTCTTGGTCATCACGGTTGGCGGCAAAATTTATAGCAGTAGGTAGCCAAGACCCTAGGGTAAGGAAGTGTTCTTGGTCACCACCCCTGTAGATCTCGTCAAGGTTCACGTCGGTGCTTCTTTCGATGAAGACAATCTGAAGGGAACCATTGGAATTGTTGTCCGTGACAAGAAAGAAAAGTTTATTGTCGCAAAGGATTCAAATATAGCACTAGTTCATAATGTCCTACCAGCTCAAGCATTTGCGCTCAAGAAGGTTTGTTACTTGCCGAATCTTCGGGCTACGATAGAATTGTCGTCAGTTCACACATGGAGCTTATCAACATTTTGAATGAAGATACCCCAGAAGTGGGAATTGCGGCGACAATGTTTAATGATCACGACTGCTTCCGTTCCATAACTCTTGTCGTGGTTTATGTTCATGGTGCAATCATGCGGAGATAAATGCGATAAATGCTTGCTCGAAGACTATGAAGAGTGCTTTTATATCCATCCAGGAAGGCATGCCAATTTTGAAGCCCACAATTTGGATAAATTTGATTTACAGGATGCCATACTTAACTGATTGGGCCGTATGATCATGCACTGATTTCTGTAAACTTATTATATCAGTCAGTTAAAACTTGCCAGAGTTTTTCGGAAAAAAGAAAAGAAAAACCTGAATAGGCCTGAATCAAGAAGGAAGGAATCCTTTCCGGTCTTCCCGACAGCTCTGCTACACGTGGGCAACGTGACCCGCTCGACTTCTACTCCAGGAGCTTCCCCTCGGCGGGACCCACTCCAGCAGCTAGATCGCGTCGATCTGCACCGTCCACTACAACCTATCGCACCACGCGGACGGCCCAGATCTTACCAGATCCCGGATCAGAGAACGTCGCTAGACAAAGCCGCTAATCAAAATCAAATCGCATCGCCACAGCCCGGGGGAACGACACATCGTGGGCGATCCTTTGAAGCCCCCCACAGGCGACAGCCAAGCTCCGCCGCGGCCTGCGCTTCCGATCGAATCCGAGGTACGCGCCCGCTGCTCGGATCTCGCCCTCCACCCTCGTCCTCCTCCTCCGCGCTCGATCGGTTCGGCACGCTTAAGCTTGCGCGCGCGCTAGAGATTTGCTCATTTGAGTTGCTCGTAGGAACGAGCAGGCCGGTGGCACCGGGTTGCGATTCTGTGTTGCAAATCGGCTCCGCTGTGCGCAGGTTTTCAGGCTTTCGTACATTTTTCGCCCGGTTCTTTATCTTCCTCTTGTGCTCTGCTCGCGCCCGCGCGTGCAGTTTGTGATGTCTCTGGTCTGGAGTTCGGTCATCGGATCAACCGATGTAGAAGTATGTAGACTAGTCAACGACAAGGTGAGGGAGGGACGGATTTGTCAGGGTGTGTTGTCTCTAGGAACAACCAATGTAAGGCCGAGATTTTGCTAGCTTTTTGTGTTTGGTTTGGTGTTCTGAAACTGTGCCTTTTACTGAGCTCGGTGCGTAAAAACTATTTCTCATGTATGTGAAATTCGAGCTAGTGATGTCGAGTTAACCTTTGTTTCTGAAGTACCATTTTCCAGTAAGCGGCACTTCATAATTGGCTTCTATGTTCCCCATGTAATCGAAAGCTTAACTTTGTCAGGATATTGTTGATATTTTTTATTCAAACAGTATTATCTAGCTTATACTTCCCAGAGTACACGATTTAACTGACAGGTGTATTAGATCATGACTCCAGTGTTTTATATGCCCGACAGCTTTATTAATCAATTTCCCTAGAGCACTGTGTGAAATGAAAAGATACAACCGTCAATAAGCAATTTTACTAATTGAATTAGCATATGATAGTCTTCTAGGGATTTCTTTGGTTTGCAATGCATTTTGTTAACTTAGTCTACTCTGTTAATGTTGGTATATCAGGCTTCCTCTAGATTTCAAAAACATGGTGGTTGCAAATGGCAATGTCGACATGGAGGAAGGAACCCTTGAGATCGGGATGGGTATGGATTTTCTATTTATCTCCATATGAGTATCTTCACATCACTGATAATCTGGTAAAGATAATGCACACTTTCTAACAGTTCTCTTTGTATTGCAGAGTACAGGACAGTTTCTGGAGTTGCTGGTCCTCTTGTGATTCTTGATAAAGTGAAGGTATACTCATTTCACACTGTTTTTTCGTGATTTAATTGATAATATTTTTTGATCCTGAAGCTGTCATTTTAGGGGCCTAAATACCAAGAAATCGTCAACATACGATTGGGAGATGGCACAACTAGGCGTGGTCAGGTGCTTGAAGTTGATGGAGAGAAAGCTGTGGTTCAGGTATATATATTAGTGTGATAGTCATAGCGGCACGAAAAATGAAGAACACATTACTTTTGTTCAGAAGTTTTCAATTCATCGCCTATTGATGGGATCTTTTATTCAAATCTATTTATGGTATATTTTCATTGGAAACAGAGATGCCTTATATGGTTTATCTCATGTGTTAGAAAACCTCCAAAACTAAGATCATTTGCTGTCTGTAGTCATAACTTTCTTGGTCATACTGGAAACAATTATGCAATATTCCTATCACATTATCTCAATTTAAGCATCATTTGACAGTTAGTTGTCTTTGTCTTTTCATCGTCTTCAGTTCACCTCCGACATTGAGATGAATTCAAACTCCGATTATATGTGAATGTACAGTTTTTCCTTTTCTACCTGCCTTTCTTTCATTGTTCATGAAACTTGAGAAAATCACTCGCAGGTTTTTGAGGGAACTTCCGGTATTGACAACAAATATACAACTGTGCAATTCACTGGTGAGGTAATATTGATTTCCCCTGAGACTTGCGCTCACATGTAGCAGTTAAGATGCTCTTTTGCACTACTCATAAATTGGTGTCAATGGATATTTTTCTGTTTAATCGTCTACGGTTGAGTGGTCTTTGTGCTATTGCTTAAATTTTTTGAAAGAAAATTTGTTTGCATTTTTGCTCATTTATATCTCTTTTTTTTTTGCATTTTAAAGGTTCTAAAAACTCCAGTGTCACTGGATATGCTTGGACGCATTTTCAATGGTTCTGGGAAACCTATAGATAATGGCCCACCAATTTTACCAGAGGCATACCTGGATATTTCTGGTAAGAGTTAGCTGGGTTCAAATATGCAGAAGATTTCAGGCTACATACAATTTGATTCAGAATTGTTTTGTTATTAATCTCATACAGGAAGTTCTATCAATCCCAGCGAACGGACATACCCTGAAGAAATGATTCAGACTGGCATATCTACAATTGATGTCATGAATTCTATCGCTCGTGGTCAGAAGATCCCTCTGTTCTCCGCTGCAGGTCTGCCACACAATGAAATTGCTGCTCAGATTTGCCGTCAGGCTGGGCTAGTAAAGCGTAAAGAGAAGACTGATAATATCTTGGAGGTATATATAAAGCCAAAACAAGTATTTGATGCCCACAGTATTTATCTATTAAAATTATTTGGATAACTCTCAGAAGTAGCCAGAAATAATTATAATGAAGCTGAAGCTGAAATAACTAACTGTTGAGGGCTGTTTGCTCCATCAACCAGGCTTGTACACTGATATGTGAACTTTTCTATGGACCATCCAAACCTTTCTCCCCCGTACTAAAATGTTCTACACACACTCGAAGTGATTAGTTTTGGATGAGTTTGATGGGAAAAAAATATCTACCTAATATGGCATCACACGTTGTTGGCCCATTATTGTTCATTTATCATTCTGGGTGCTGTAGCCATCAATGCGTGATGCTTGCAGTAGGCAACTCTATATGTTAATCCGTATCCTCTTGGGATGGCCAGCGAATCATAGTTTACAACATGGACTTGCAATACATTGTTATTTTCTGTGGTCTTTGTTCTAACTTCGAAGAAGTAGGTACTTGTATTGTGTACAATCTTGGTCTGGTTTACATGGCGCAGTGATGAAGTACTCCCCACTTGTGCCAAGAGGTCCTGGGTTCGACGCAGCCTCTCTGCATTGCACTGTGCAGGGGTAAGGCTTGCCTCGTATAATTCTTCCCCATACCCCCACCTGGTGTGGGAGCTTCTAGCACTGTGCCTGTCATTGGTCTGGTTTACATGGCAAAGTTAAGTGTGCAAGTTATAATAATTATAATTTAATTAACAGTATCTATTAATTCGTATAATTCTCAGTTACATTGATTTATTCCGAACATCCTATCTAGTTTTTTCTCCATGCTAGATCATTAGTTTGACATTCACGCATCTGCTACAATTGTTGTAGAATGCCGAGGAGGACAATTTTGCTATTGTGTTTGCAGCTATGGGAGTAAACATGGAAACAGCACAATTTTTCAAGCGTGATTTCGAGGAGAATGGTTCAATGGAGAGAGTTACCTTATTTCTTAATCTGGTACATCTGCGTACCTTTTCCCCTCTCTTTTCTTTCCTTCACTTGTTGCTCTAAGGATTTTACCCCTTACTTTTGTTCATAGGCAAATGATCCTACCATCGAGCGTATTATTACTCCAAGAATTGCTCTCACCACAGCGGAATACTTGGCATATGAGTGTGGGAAGCATGTTCTTGTCATCCTGACTGACATGAGTTCATATGCAGATGCACTTCGTGAAGTAAGGGCTCTTACCTCCAGTAATATTTTCCTGGATTTTACTGTAGAAACATGTTGGAAATTGTCTCCCATCAACTGGAGTTACCACAGGATTTCTGTTAGCAACACATAACCCTGAATGCTTTTAATATCAAATCTTTTAACCTTCTCCAAGAAATCTCGACTTAGATATTTATTATAGAAAACTCAGATTTGCAGAGCCAAATTTATAACTGCCTTTGGGTAAACTGGCATATACTGTTAATTTATTATCAATAGGAGCTAAGTATTTACTATTGCAGGTAATACTAGTTTATACTTTTGTGTTATAAATTACTTGGTTAAGTTAGATTAACATACGATATTTAAGTAAGCACTCAGATAAAAAAAAGTATAAGCTATTGATAATTATGAATGACATCTTAGCAAAAAGAATTTTGCATGCAAAGACAATGTCATAGATAATTAAAATTCTGGTTACAGTGTTGGCTGAGGACAGTGGATATTTGTATGTAGTTCTTGTATGGTCTGGATTTAACTGATCCTTCAGTGTATTGTCCTGATTCATTCTCAGTTCCCTTACTCTATATGGACGCATATTTACCTCCTGCCTTTTTTCCTTTCAGGTCTCTGCTGCTCGAGAGGAAGTACCTGGAAGGCGTGGTTATCCTGGTTATATGTATACTGACTTGGCGACAATCTATGAGCGTGCTGGTCGTATAGAAGGAAGAAAAGGATCGATTACGCAGATACCTATTTTAACCATGCCTAATGATGGTCAGTTAATGATATATTCTTGCTTTTCTGCCAAATGTTTTATGACATGACATATTTTCTCTCCTACAATGTAACTATGTAAATTTGTAGAGTAGATTTAACTGAGGAAGAATAGTGTGAGACCTGTTCTATAATTATCACTCAAAACAAGCTACATTCATAAAATTTGTTCAGTATTCTGGCAAAAACAAGTTTTCTAACTTTTCTACTGTTGTAGATATTACCCATCCAACTCCTGACCTTACTGGTTACATCACCGAGGGGCAGATCTACATTGACAGGCAGCTACATAATCGGCAGGTATTGTACACTTTCCAGTTTTTTACTAAACTTTACAAATGATCTCTAAATGCCCACTAAACTTAGCATATGTTCTAAGGCTGTTATTTGGATTCCTGATCTGAACAAGAAAGGTGACTAGACTTAATATGGTCAATTGCAATGACCTCTTTTTTCTTTGGTGAGACAGGAGGCATACGTAGCACCTCTGTAGAACACTTCATTCTATGCAACGAATAATTTACCAGGCTCTTTAAATTGAGGATGCAGCTTGTTGCCTTCCCTTCAGAAAGAGAAAATAATACTTTGTCTGGAATAGTAACTTAGCAATAAAACGGAAAACCCTATACTGGTCTACCTGGAGTATCATAATTAACTCAGATCAATAATTTTGTAGCTCCCAACTGAGTATTATCTCAAAATTTATGTCTGATCTTGTTGCTAATATCTGTCTGGCAGATATATCCACCAATTAATGTCCTTCCCTCACTTTCGCGGCTCATGAAGGTATGATTTTTGCTACTAAAGAAAATTGTTACAATCGACACCTAAGTTATAGTGATACAAGCATTATCAGTGAGGTCCACAACTGCTTACCTATTCTGGATCTTTTGCAGAGTGCTATTGGCGAAGGCATGACTCGCCGGGATCATTCTGATGTCTCAAACCAGGTTCGCTAGAGATTCCCATAATCTGCAGCCTACATAATCTTATATTCTTATTCGAGAATATGGATCGGTTAATCACATGTTTTCCTTTCAGCTATATGCCAATTACGCCATAGGCAAAGACGTGCAGGCGATGAAGGCAGTGGTCGGAGAGGAAGCACTGTCATCAGAGGACTTGGTAATCTCGAACTTGCACTGACTTTCCACTTTATTTTCTGAATTGTTTTGAAGCTCCTTATCAACTGAACTCTTGGAATTGATGGCAGCTCTACCTTGAGTTCCTTGACAAGTTTGAGCGGAAGTTTGTGGCTCAGGGGGCATATGACACGCGGAACATCTTCCAGTCGCTTGACCTTGCCTGGACCCTACTCCGCATCTTCCCCCGTGAGCTGCTCCACCGTATACCGGCGAAAACCCTTGATCAGTTCTACAGTCGTGATGCCTCTCACTAAGTCAGAATTTGGGCGCCATCATGGAAATTGCTTGTTGTTGTGCAATAAAGCGGTGCCAGGGGCTCAGTTAATATATATTGTGCTATCCTCCCAATTTGTAGTTCAAATTTGTGCTAGCATTAGCAAAATATCAATTCTTTTGACAAAGAACGTGATTTATCTAGCAATTTGGGCAACATTGATGCTCAAATCGCATCATGTATCATATTGCTGAGGACTATTGTTGCAAGGAAGGGGAATAATGGAGGATAAGTTCCTCGCAAAATAAAATCGAGAACAAGTTGAGCTGGGTATTATGGACTTTTGAATAAAGAGTGAAACGATTTGCATCTACGGTCAGCTATTAGGCACTCTATAATAGAGCTTGTTGATGATTTCATACTAAGAGCATCTCGAACAGTAGCCTTAAAAACAAAGTCGTGCCCAAAAACTGCTTTTAGGTCACTTCGGGCAAAAAAGTAACACATCAACAGCGGCCTTATACATATATGATGGCCAAACAAATTTAGGCCCTACCTCATGATGGGAATGGGCCGACCCGGACCTGGCCTTAGACCTCGCCCTGCGGCCCCAAGGTCAATATGTGAGGCCATGGGTCGGCCTATTTTATCAAAAGTTTGTGGCCTCACTGACCCGTTGGGCACATGAGGCCGACCCAAAATCCAATGAATTCACACTTACATCTCTATTTACAAAGAAATAGCAGGGCGGTCTGTCTACCGTAGGACCAAAAAACTTTCTGAACCATACTGCTTCAATACTACCAGGCATTAGTCAATACTAAGTACTTTGAATAGATATATAATTTTGGATGTCAGCTGTGTAAAGTCTTGTCTTGTCTTCCAGTGGAGTGGGCTGCAGTAGGCTGGGCATTTAGAATGCGAACGATAAAGCTCTAATGCATTCACGCAAGCTAATCAGAGAAATAATCTCTCAGTGCATTCATTTGGCTGCTCACCGATTGGACTTTGCATATGTAAAAAAAATGCTTTAGGCAGGATTGGCCACGGTAGCTCCGTCGGTGAATACAAGTAACTTATAGAGTATTCCCTCCGTCCCAAAATTCTTGTCTTAAATTTGTCTAAATACGGATGTATCAATTCATGTTTTAGTATTAGGTACATCCGTATCTAGACAAATGTAAGGCACGAATTTCGGGACGGAGGGAGTATGTTTGTATAATATCTACTGCCTTATCAGAACGGGTCGACCCATCTGGCCCATTGGGTCGCATGGTGCCGGCTCCACTGACCCGTACATCTTTTAGGGCCAATCCATTTGGCCCATTGGCCTCGACTTTTTGGGCCGGGTCATTGACCCGGCGGGCCGACCCGACCCATTCCCATCTTGAGCCCTACCCAAATAAATGCTACAATTGATGAAAATATACATCACCAGCAGCCGCAGCTGCCCAGAAACCAATTCGGCTACCGTGGGAATCCCAATCGCCCAGTCGCCAACTCGCCTCCTTACCGCGATCGCCGTCGGTCAATTCTCGCTACCGCCGCCGGCTGAGACCCATCACGATCCGAGGTCGATTAGCGGTCGGGAGACCTCCAATTGCCTAGCGCGGCCACCGCTGAGCCGCGGCTCCGTTTGGAGCCCTCGACGCTCAGGGCATCTCCGACGGGAGATGCTAAGAGGGGGCGCTAGGAATTTAATCCTGGCAGATCAGCGGTTATATTGTCGAATCCCAGCGTCACGCCTGGCATCGGTGCCTTCCTTTGCACCGAGCGCTTGCTCATTTTTTTTTGAACATCAGTACAGACACAAGCGCTCATATACACGCGCATACACTCACCCCTATGAACGCACACACGCACACCCTACCCCTATGAGCACCTCCGAAAGACTGAGCCGGCATATCATCTTGAAATTTACGAAGTCATCGTAGGCACCTCGTCGTCGACGAGAACGTCTCCTCCCACTGAATGCGCATCGCCGGAAATCCTGAAATAAATCCAGGAATAAATGCGAGCACCAGGATTTGAATCCTGATGGGCTGGGGATACCACAGCCCCTCTAACCATCCAACCACAGGTTGGTTCGTGCTTGCTCATTTTTTGACGTACGAGAGAACTGGGCCTTTCTTTCTAATTTGTTATTCAAGAGCCCGCTATTAGCGCCAGCGTTGGACAAGCGAGCGCTAACTTTCTCAGATATTTTTCTCCCACACAATAAACGCCTGCATGAGCGCTCCGCATTGAAAATGCCCTCATGCGACATGAAGCCACCAGAGTTGGCAGCACCCTCGGCCCCTGGTCCCTCTTTATGCCATTCCTAGGTGGCCCGACGACTATCTCGGCCCTGGCGAGCTACGCTGACAAGAATTGGCCTCAATCTCCCTGCGACCATCAGATCCACCTCTCGGCATGCCGTTTGATCCTTGCGAGGGCATTCAATCTAAAATTGTACAGCACTAGTTTTGGGTCTGCTGGAAAAGCAGAAAAAACTCTTGAAGGCATAAAACCTTCTCTTCCCACACCTAAAATCATTTTGAAGGCACCAATTTTTGGACTGTTGTTGGAGATGCTCTATGTACTAGTTTCGACCTCCGAGGTACCAGAGATATTATGAAGTGATGGAAATGAAAAAAAGAGAGTGAAGACTTTGAGGGATAGCTTGAATTTTGAAAGTGTTAGCTTTAGTTCTGATGCTTGTGCCCCTCCCTCCGTCTCAAAATAAGTGTCTCAACTTTAGTATAACTTTAGTATAACTTTAGTACAAAGTTATACTAAAGTTGAGACACTTATTTTGGGAAGGAGTGATACAATACAAGTTCAAGATGCAACCTCACAAGCGCAAAAGGTACCCAAGACTTGCACAAAATTCCCCATCAACCACCTAAGAGCATTTCCAGCCTTTCGGCCCCCTAGGACGCCAAAAAAGGGCCGTCTGGGCCCGAGCTGGCGCGTACTATAGGCGTGGGGGCGATTGCGTTCCCAGTCGTCGCCCCCGCGTCCCCCTGAACTCGGCGTAAAGTAGGTGATTCGATTCGAATTCGGCACAAACTAGGCGATTTTCATTCAAATTTGTACAAAGAAACAGAAAACAAACGAGCTACCCCTAGCCCTACTATGCCGCAGCCGCCGCTCGCCTTCTACATGCCGAGGAACCTGTAGAACCGGGTGTAGTCGCCGCCGCCGCGGTTGTCGTCGTCGTCCCAGCCGTCGCCGTCGCCTTGTGTGACGTCGCTGTCGCCGTCCCTGCTGCACTCCTGACTAGGGTCGCCGATGCGCAGGGGGTTGGACGGCCCGGGCGCGTCCTCCTCGTCGTCGTCGAGGACGACGATGCCGCCCTCCTCGCGGCCGCGGTGCCAGGCCTTGATCTCCTCATAGGCCCGACGCTGGCGAGCCACCTGCTCGCGGACGTAGTCCTCCTTCGCCCACTTGAGGGCGGTCTCGTCGGCGGCGGCCATCGCCGCGAGCTCGGGGGGCAACTCCGGCTCGGTCTTCGGCCGGACTAGGCGGAGGGAGGAGCGAGGAAAGGGCGGCCTTCCTCATTGATGACGAGGGTGCCATTGTGGGTGCGCCACCCAAGCGGCATCTCCTGCGGCTCCGGCTTGACGGGGCATAGCACCGGCGACCCGGTGGAGAGCGAACCGGAGCCCAATGACGAGGAGGCCGCCGACCCCATTCGCCACGGCGTCCAGGAGCTGCCACGTCGGTGAGAGAAGGATGGGCGGGTTGGGTACTCGAGGCGCGATGTGTTGCCGGTCTCGATGTAGTCGAGGACGGCCTCGAGGGTGCGGTCGGGCACGCCCCACCATTCGTGCCGCCCGTCGGTGTTGTAACGGACGCAGGGGATGGTGCCGTTGGTGTAGGTGATCTGCTATTCGCGGCGGCACTTGAAGAACGTCATCCACAGCGTGTGGTTGTCGGCGGCGTACTGATACGTCTCCAACGCATCTATAATTTTTGATTGCTCCATGCTACTTTATCTACTATTTTGGACTATATTGGGCTTTATTTTCCACTTTTATATTATTTTTGGGACTAACCTATTAACCGGAGGCCCAGCCCAGAATTGCTGTTTTTTGCCTATTTCAGTGTTTCGAAGAAACGGAATATCAAACGGAGTCCAAAGGGAATGAAACCTTCGGAAACGTGATTTTCTCACCAAACGTGATCCAGGAGACTTGGACCCTACTCCAAGAAGTAATAGAGGCGGTCACGAGGGTGGGGGGCGCCCCTCCTAGGGCGCGCCCCCCTACCTCGTGGCCCCCCTGTTGCTCCACCGATGTACTCCTTCCTCCTATATATACCTACGTACCCCCAAACGATCAGAACAGGAGCCAAAAACCTAATTCCACCGCCGCAACTTTCTGTATCCACGAGATCCCATCTTGGGGCCTGTTCCGGAGCTCCACTGGAGGGGGCATCCACCACGGAGGGCTTCTACATCAACACCATAGCCCCTCCGATGAAGTGTGAGTAGTTTACTTCGGACCTTCGGGTCCATAGCTAGTAGCTAGATGGCTTCTTCTCTCTTTTTGGATCTCAATACAATGTCCCCCCCCCTCTCGTGGAGATCTATTCGATGTAATCTTCTTTTTGCGGTGTGTTTGTTGAGGCCGATGAATTGTGGGTTTATGATCCAGCTTATCTATGAATAATATTTGAATCTTCTCTGAATTCTTTTATGTATGATTGAGTTATCTTTGCAAGTCTCTTCGAATTATCCGTTTGCTTTGGCCAACTAGATTGGTAGTTCTTGTAATGGGAGAAGTGCTTAGCTTTGGGTTCAATCTTGCGGTGTCCTTTCCCAGTGACAGAAGGGGCAGCAAGGCACGTATTGTATTGTTGCCATCGAGGATAACAAGATGGAGTTTTTATCATATTGCATGAATTTATCCCTCTACATCATGTCATCTTGCTTAAGGCGTTACTCAGTTTTTAACTTAATACTCTAGATGCATGCTGGATAGCGGTCGATGAGTGGAGTAATAGTAGTAGATACAGAATCGTTTCGGTTTACTTGTCTTGGACGTGATGCCTATA